AAAAAATAATATTTTTTATTTCAAATTATAAAATTTTTATATATAATATTTAAAATTTTATAAACAATGTTATAAATATAAATGACAAAAATTTAATTTATATTTTACTCTTAATATTATTTCTGAATTATTATCATCATGGTCATCATCATCTAGTTTTTACATGAGTTTTGTAGGCCTGTGACACTTTAATTATTTCCTTTTTTCGTTATTCCTTGACTCTCTATTCTAATCCCTAGTTCCACATCTCCAGCATCCATCTTTATCTCCTGTTCTCATCTTTTATTTTTATTTATTTATTTATTAAGTTTTTTTTAATCTTCCTTCGAGTCTAGTTAATTTTTTAGTTATTTCAAGAGAAAAATTATATTTTTTTTCCTGTCAGTGATTCGAAATATCTGCCTGTTATATTTGTTTTCGACTCTAAATTTTATTAATCAAATCAAAATTCTTTGGGGAACTTTACCAGGAACATCTGTTACAAGGAGGAACAATACTTCTGTGCAAGACAACTCATCGACATTTTAATGACACGTACAGTACCATTAGTAAGAATCAAGAACTGAATCGTCAATGGAGGAGGAAGAACCTCAGTGATGTGACCTCTAGATGAGAGTTCCCTATAAAAAGGAGAGAAAGAAGAATGAGACAGAGTGAAGGTGCACGACAGACCAAGAAAAGCAGGGTGGACTCAAGGCGTGGAAGACTTCGACCATCCATCTATCACATCACACTTCGTCAACCATCCATCACACTTCGTCGATGGACAGAAAGGCTCAGATGACTCACCTTCACACCATTATCATAACATTTATTAAACTAGATATTATATAAACATGTTTTCACACGAGTTAGCAAGAAATTAATGTATTTCCTCACTATACTAAATAAATATATTTATTTAAATGCAAGTATAGTCACTGCCAATCGACACACACACAACACATCTTCAACAGGGTATATCACAAATAGACCACATGGGCTGACTGCATTTTTAAAGTAAATATTTTTTTAATTGTTCAAAAATTATAAATCAATTCTCTCCATCAGTTTACTCAAACTTTATCATTTATCTTTAAGATGATTCTCGCTGTTTTCTGATAGAAAATTTATATTATTTAATACACTAAATCGTAACAAAATTCTTATAAAACCCTCACAACTATAAATCATTTTTCATCTTAAGAAAAAAATAATAATTTTTATAAATTTTTTAAAAATATTATTATATATTCAAATGTAGAAAGAAAACAGTTTTAAATTCGATTTATAATTTAAAATTCATTATAATATATAAGAAGTATTTTCTTTATTGTTTCTGATATATATATATATTTATGGCGTATCTTTCTATCAACAAAATGAATAAATGATAAATTAGAAGTAGAATTTCTTTTGTGATAAGAAGTAGTTTGACAAAAATATCATTTTATTTATGTAATACATTATTAATGAGATGGAGTGTTATGTTACTATAGCATGATTTGTCTTTGATAATCTACTGCATTTGGCAGTTGATGCGAAAATGGAATTTTAGATAATTTCTAACAACTAAAATGAAAAAATTTCGATCAAAATGTCAGCAAATACTTCATTAAAAATTTAAAAAAAATAAATTAATTTTAGTATATAACTTATATTCAACATAGATTATAATTAAATAGAAATTATGTATAAAATTCGTATTTTAAATATGTAATTTAAGAACGTAACTTAAAAATTTTTTTAAGTGTTTAGAGAGTTATTTTTTATTATTTTAAATACTTTTATATAGTTTAAATAGAATTAATATAGATTTAATAATGTAAAACTTTTAAATTATTCAGAAAGTATCGGGTGGTTTCTGCGTTATTATCGAATTGGCAAAGACAAACATCTGCCTAATTTCACAGAATATCGGTGTTAAAAGTGAAGAAAAAATCGATAATAATAACATTATAAAACAAATAAAATTTAAAATTAAATTAGTAATTAAATTTCAACTAAACTTAGAAATTATTATTAATATAAGTTCTTTTAAAATATTTATATAAATTATTGTTCTTTTATTTAAATACTAAAAATATGCCCTGACATAAAGTAATAAGGAGAAACATTAAAATTAAAATCATATTAAAAGTTTGGATATTTTAGTCTACCATTGTTAAGTTTATCAGGGAGATAAAGTCAGGGGAGGAATGGGGTTGAAATCAGGGGATAAAATCAAGGAGAATGGGGATGAAATCAGGGGATAAAATCAAGGAGAATGGGGATGAAATCAGGAGGAGGAGGAGTTTGGAAAAATCAGAGGTAGTCGAGATGAAATCACGGGGGAGTGAAGGTCAAATCAGGTAGAGTAGAAATGAAATCGGGGAGGAGTGAGAATGAAATTAAGGAAAGGAGTGGGGATGAAATCAGGAGAAGAAGTGAGGTGAAATCAGAAGAGTAGAGACGAAATCAAAGGGAATATATA